ACCAGACAATGTTTGCAGTTGTGCTGTATAATGTGGAATGATGTTAAGGCGTAGTTACAATCAACAAATTGTTGATTCGTACTATCATTCAAGCTGACAAAGTTAGATGTGATATATGTAGCTTAACATTCGCAAATTACAGTATTGATTCATCCGCTTTTTTCCTTGCGCCCAGATAGGTTTTAAATGAGTAAGCAGGTTGTGAGGCGTGATGTCAGACCTAAACAGCAACCTTACAGTAGAATGGTATGCAATGACGTCAAAAGCCATTTCATTTAGCATTTTTCTCAACTCAAGTTTTTGAAGTCGTGAAATGGAGATTCGTGGCAGACCAAAAGTGTAGACAGAAGATGACTCCCTTAATAAAATCATTTTGGAACTGCTAAAATTTGCATGGTAGACTACAACCATCTTTTCTGATCATAACCTGGATTGATGAAAGAAATGAACACCGATTGAAAGCTCCTTTTTTATTCATCGTCGAACTTATCATGGAACGACTCGAGTCTGCCGCATTTAAAGCATCACGTGAAGTCACGAAATCTCACTTCCTCAATGAGCATTTGAATGACATATTCACCGTTTGATCGAAAGTAACGGAAAATGGGTTCCTGAACAATCTAAGCTCCATATGTCCAAACATCTCCTTCACGATGGAAGGTGAAGCAAGAGAGTGTTTTCATTTCTAGACTCACTGATATCTTAAAAAAAATTTACATGATATAAGATCTACTACAGCCAACCAACACGAGTTGTTTCTTGCGCTGCAACTGCAAAGTTCTCTGTAGAATTCTTATGCATCGTATGCATTGTTGGAGCGTGAATCTGACTCTAGGCCAGTGATGGAAACAACACACTTAGGCGTGATGACTTCAACCTACAGGAGATTACTGTTGAAGCTCATTCCTTACTGGTAACGAAGTTGACTTCTTCCACGGATCTCGCAACTTATCTTTTTTCCAACCTGATCATGCTGCCTTCCGTCTGGTTAATTTTCAATTTACTGTTTTCTTCCGCTCTCACAGACACAAAGCACTTCACAAGTTACCTTTGACTTATCATAGATTAGATGTTAATCGATTGTTCATTCCGTAGCGTTCTAAAGCTGTAGTTACACGCGGTTTAGAGAATCTGGCTAATTCCTTTCTGCGGTCTAACACACGAGATTCTCAGCCACCCTCGTCAATCGGATCCGCAGTGCCACTTGGCTGAGAGATGTGCAGGTTACGAAGGTCGATGTCAGCGTCATGTTTTGGTCGTGATCATCAGTCGTCGGCTGTCAGGGCTCGATTATCGCGCTGGACCTCCCTAAATTTGCTGGACCTTGAGCCTCCCGGAAAGGACGATGGTCCTTTTCAGGGCTGATAGCCCCGACATCTTGATAGCATGACTGAAGCTGTTCGAAAATGCACCATGCTCTCATCACGTTGAAGAGGTTAGGTTGCTGCTGGTCATTTTGAGATGAGTTGTTCAGCAGTGAGTTACAGCTCAAGCATATAGCGAACATCACGGCATATGGGTAATCTGAACAGAGCAAAATAATTGAGCTTTTAAATAGAAGATTTACATCATCCACTGGAGCACAGATAGGCTAATCTAACATTAATCCATCTGGAAGGAAAAACATTGAATCAATCACATTAAAACAAGGGAAACGTGAATACGCGCATGAAAACATACTAGATTAAGTTAACCTAGCTTCGAATGATTTACATAGCTAAATTTAATAACCTTGCTTTGTCATATTGTTTCCTTATCGTATTGCTTCCCTTTTTATCAAACTGTCGATTCCAAAGCTGTTTTGCTTATATTTGGCCCTGTGTTGAATAATGTTTTGATTAAGTTATGAACAGAACATGCATATGGAATTAGGTTTTAGTTTCATACGAAGAAGACCAGTTGAACCAAGTTTTCGTTGCTTTTCCTTTTAGGCTCCTGTGATACAAAACCGCCGTGGATATTACCTTGGATTTACAGTGGTAGAACACTCCCTCACTGCTTTTTTGGATTATTCAATCAAAATTTCGTGACAACATTTTTCTTTTGCTACCGGATTTGTACGATGTACAGGCACCGTCACCCCGTTTCTGGCGGCCTACGGGATCACTTAAGCAGATCACGGCGCCATGGTGTTTGAGCTCCAGCAGAGCATACATGCTTTATTTAATTTCAAAAAATAAAGCTTTCAAAATTTTTGAAATTCTCGTTTATTTTTAGTGCCTTCATCCTGTTAACTACCTTAGAAGGGCCTTTTCCCTACCGATAATGCATAAATAACTCTTATAAAAATTCATCTTATTTTGACATGATTTCTGTTAAGGTTTCTGGATGCTGACGCATAAAGCTTTTGGCATTTATAAACACTTAGTGGGGTTTAACTTTTGCCTTGAGCAGCCAATGATAATTACCGAAGTCGTGAAGTATGTCATGTACTTTGGGATGCTAACGTTTCGTCATGGATGAGCAGGAAGAGATCGATCTGATTTAAATAGGTCCCTCGGTGATCAGTACTCGCAGTGAGTTTACGGCGTAATGATAACCATATCTTTATCCGCTCTACTTGTCCGCTCAAGCAAATCCATTTGTCGCCCTGAATTCCAGGAATTAAATTATCGCATATAAGCGTTTAATGAAACAACTGTCCAAAATGCAATCGATCATTGGTAGTACGGCATTCACTGGATAGTACACCTGAAACGTTAAACTGCTTTTTGTAAATATATAGAAATTATTTAGTCACATGCAAGGCTGTAGCATGATGGATGTATTTTCTTTGTTTTTTATTTGTATTATTCAAATATATTTTTCCAACATCTAACCGTCCCCTTTGCCTGTAAACCCAATAATCATCAAATTTAATTGAAATACGTAGCACGTATATTTGCAACGAGTAGGTTTGCTGGCCAATGGGTATGGTACTTTGTCGAAGCTATTTTGGTTGTAATAAGCACACATCCATATGATTCTAGCTAAGGAGTAGAACTTATTTACTTATTTGCTCTTGTTTCTGCGTGTTCATTCACATACGTATGTGTATATCTGTTTATGTACTTCTATTTTTTTCTCCCACAAACTTATGTGTACATTAAAACAACTTACTTTCCGCTGTATTTTCATATCTGGTGGGAGTAGAGTACCCGTCTCTGCTTAATCACCGCATTCACAATTCCAACTTGTAGCAGCTTGTTAAGTTTGCGATACATGCCCTACATTTTCCGTATATAGCTATATAATATATACACTTCTAATTTCATTTTAGCCAAAGTTTAAGACTGGCTATTGTTTATTGTGGGCTCATAGAGGACAATCGATACATAGATGTATACATACCCCCCAGGCATGCATGCCTGGGCTCATAGAGGACCCATCGATACATACATGTATACATACCCCCAGGCATGCATGCCTGGGCTCATAGAGTACCCATCGATACATACATGTATACGTACCGCCTGGCATGCATGAATGGACTCATAGAGGACCCATCGATACATACATCTATACATACCACCAGGCATGCATGCCTGGGCTCTTAGATGACTCATCGACACATGCAAGTATACGTTCCCCGAGGCATACTTGCCTGCGCTCATAGAAGACCCATCGATACATACATGTACACATAACCCCAGGTATGCATGCAGTTCGTCAACCCAACACTTCGCATAGAAGAAGAGCGTAAAATAACGCAATTTTTCTATTCTTTCACAATGTTCATCAAATGGTAGATGAAGGCGGCTGCATTTGATATTCTCAACCGCGTTTTTTATTATGATTTGCAAACGGAACGAAATGGCTGCCAACTGATGTATCTCAACAAGTTTGAATATGCTTGGCGAATTACGAGTTAAGCAATTATTTCATTTCAGCAGGCCAGTGATTCAGTTAGATCTGTGGGGAAAAGTCAATGGCACAGAGGAACACGACATCGATTTGTTCATTAGAGACGCAGATTCAACTCCCCTCTCCAATGCGCGACATAAATTTGTTCTTATAACTGCTAATTTATCGAATAAGGAGTTTAAAACATTGTGCTTCAGTATTGCTAGCCGAGAAAAGGATATAATCTGGGTCCACTGAGGCAAACGCAGAGTTCCGCTGCACCCATTTCACAGACTGCAAAACATGCAGCCATTCTCTCTATTCCTCACTATTGAAGTTGGCCTTTATCATCTAAGTAGCATAGGAGCCTGGGCAAGATGAAAAGGTAATTCTGAAATTTAAGATGGCTTCTCTTAGCGTTTTGTTACTAAACGTAGCAGAAATCAGTTCCTCTGTTTTCTATCCCATGCCTATTATGCCCATGCCCATGCCTGTGCAACTATACGAATACGCAAAGTTCAGATATGCATCTGCCAAGTTTTCTCTTATCTTCACCATACAAAGAGCAATAATTTTGACGCGTGTCTTATTATCATACATCAGCATACTTTAGATTTCCAGTCTGTCTTGCATCTGAATCATTAAACGTTTTGAGTGCACACACCTTTATGAAAACAAGTCATGATATTAAGGACTAGCACGCAAGATGGCACATAATTCTACAGTTTTGATGTGTTGTCACTGTCCTTCTATTAGAGAAAAATGCTTTGAGAATTATAAGGAGATTTGTATTTCCTCATCTACCATGCTTTCCTT